TCAAGAATGGGGCGCTCTCCATCTCACGGTCGAAGGTCATGGTTGACTCTTGATCTTGAGGGTCGAATCAATTGATGGCCGCGCCGGCTCTACGCCAAAACGGTCTCCGCTCTCACGCGCGGCTTCACGCTCCGCCGACGCTGATTTAACTCACACGCTCGAATTGGCAAATTTGAACTCCGCGAGCGTACTACGCCGCGGACATGGGTGTGCAGCGCCGAAGGCGTCTATTCCGCCTTGCGCGGTACACTCGTTCGTACCGCTCCTCGGCCCATCCTCCTCTGCCTCGGCGCTCGTCCGCACGTCGGACAAAAGTTAAACTCCCGCCTGTGCGCAAGCGGACTCCTCGGCGGATTCTCCGCCGGCGCGGAACTTCACCCGCTTGTGCGCAGGCGCTCGCCTACGCGTAGGCGAATTCCGTCAGCGTCGCTGCGCTGGCGCGGAAGGCGTTGACCGCGGTCAACAGACTCCGTCCAGACTGTCCGTTCCTTGTCTCTCCGTCGGCGCTCTCGCCGCCGCAACTCCGTCCGACCAAGAGCGCATCCATCCGTTCCGTCCGTACAGTCCGTACGGTCCGTACGGATTTTACTACTCCGGCGGCTCCTCATTCGTCCGCGCTGTTGCGCTGGCGCGGAAGGCGCCGTACAATGTCTACCTCCGAAGGCGCATTTCTAGGGCCGAAGGCAGATTTCCCGCCGACGCCTTAGCGCCTGTGCACAGGAAAACGACTGTGCGTAGGCGAACTTCGTGCCTACGTCAAAACCCTATTTCGCCTGTGCGCAGGCGAACTTCCTTCGTCCGCGCATAGGACCAAACTTTCTTCGCCTGTGCGTAGGCGGAAAGCTGAGTATCTTGCGACCTTCATAACTCCCGGAGTCCTCATCCGTTTGTGGCGTTCTTAGACGCGTTGGAATCAGCGCGTCAAGCTCTTTCCAACAAGACCCTTACCAAGTCGAGGCGTTCTAGGATTGACCTGAATCTGAAGGATTTCCCTAGCGCCGAAGGCGCAGCGCCGAAGGCGGATTTTGCGCCTTGCGCCAAAGGGGTCATACCTTCCGAGCTCGCAGGGAGGGTGGTGCCCGTCCGTACGTTGCTCCCTACTCCTAGATTCTACGAGTTCCCTCGAGAATCTCTACGATCTTCCGAATTCACTCTATTTTGATGCACCGAAGGCTATTTACACTGCTGCCGCGGTACAGTTTTCCAAAAATGTTTTAATTTTCTCAAAATTACCAAAAGTGGGGTACCACAACTGCCAAGTTTAAAGCCAGATTGATGGCCAAATTTGAAATGAAATTTGGCCAGTGATGAAATTTCAGCCGCGAGAAGATCATGACTACATTGAAACATTTGCACCGGTTGTGAAATGGAATATCTTGCAAAGCGTCATATCATTGGTTGCTGATCAAGGTTGTACAATCGTTCATTTGGATGTCAAACTTCCTTCTTCAATGGAAACATACAAGAAGATATTTATGTGAAGCCGGCCCCAAGATTTGAGTCCTGGACTCATCCTCACCACGCTTGCAAGTGAAGAAGGCTTTGTATGGTTTGAAGCAGGCTCCACGTGGATGATACCGCAAGGTTGACGACTACTTGACCGATCAAGGCTTACAAAAGTCTACGGCGGACTAGAGTCTCTATTTTTACGAGGAGAACGACCTTCTCACGTTACTTGTCTTCTATGTAGATGACGTCTACTCAAGGGGATACAACCTTTTCCACATCACACGACTTTGGAGAGAGATTCAAACTGCCTTCGATATGATCAATCTAGACACCTCATCGTACTCCTTGGAGATTGAGTTTTTATTCAGCCCTTATAGCATCCGTCTCACACAACCCCAATATATCAAGTCTATGCTTGTTGACTTCAGACTAGCGAGAGTTGTCATGTGGCAACATCTATGACCTAGAAGACTCATCTGCTGCGAGACATGAGAACGCCACATGCCGACACAATGCTTTACCAGACGATGGTTGGCAAACTCATTTTTCTTGACACATACAAGGTCACATATTGCTTATGTCGTAAGCATCGTTAGCAGGTTTATGGCTGTCCCGCAGTAGATCCACGTCCAAGCAATAAAACATATCTACTGGTATCTCAAGGGTTCTGCCAACTTTGCACTGATCTACCGAAAAGAGGAGGAAAACAATCTGCTTGGCGACACCGATGCTGACTAGGCAATTGACGCATATGATAGAAAATCTAGCATTGGATATCTATTTCTATCGGGGTGCAGCCTTGTCACATGGAATAGCAAAAAGCAACCTACCATTGCTCTCTCATCAGCTGAGGCGGAATAGATGATGATCACCGAGGGCACAAAAGAAGTTGTGTGATTAAAGAGACTATTTGAAGAGCTGGAAATATAAGGTTTGAAGAAACCGACAGATTTCTTCAAATCACAAAGACAATCAAGAAAGCCTCAATTTAGCTCACAATCTGGTTTATCACAGACACACAAAACACATCGAGGTAAAGCATCATATCATTAGAGAAAAGATTGTTTCCAATGAAATCAATTTAGAATATGTTTCTACTACTGAACATCTAGCTTATATCTTAACTAAAGCCTTAGGAAGAAAAGCTTTTGAAAGACTTAGGAAACTACTAGGGTTGATTGATTTGGCTACTTAAGTCTCATGCTCCAACTTCAGTTTCTAATACTCATGAGTAGAATCAACACTAGACTCATCAAAGCAGACCAAACCTGCTCACGAACAACCTCATCCGGCAGCAATGGAATGAGAGATTTGAATGGACTCTCCATCTCCAAAGAAGTCGAAGCATCATGATCAGGGTCGCCAATTGCACCACCATTAGGAAAAGCTCCCTTTTATTGTTTGGCCTTCTTTCTACACGTCTAGAGGCAGAACCGAAATGATTGCCATAGAGTAAAATCATTGATTATTGATTTATAGAAAGTTTGCACCAAAATGATTGCCATAGAGTAAAGTCATTGATTATTGATTTACATAAAGTTTGCACCAAAATGATTGCCATAGAGTAAAGTCATTGATTATTGATTTACATAAAGTCTGCACCAAAATGATTGCCTTAGAGTAAAGTCATTGATTATTGATTTACATAAAGTTTGCACCAAAATAATTGCCATAGAGTAAAGTCATTGATTATTGATTTACATAAAGTTTGCAGCTTCTCTTGGTCAGAGTTCGACATAGTTGCTTATGAACCAAAGAAGAGTTCTTTAACATGAATCATCTCAAGTCCAGAGCGAAGGGGATTGTTGATACATGAACTCTGATAGTGTTGGAGCTCGCACCGTAGAGATAGAAGAGATAGTATGGAAATAGAACCAAGCTACAGAGCTAACACTCTAACAGTTACCGAGGCAAGACAAATGCCGCTTTAGGTTAATGAGCCGCCTGTTAGGGTTACCGCGTTGCACGTCGTCCCTTGGCGACCTCTGATTGCATGTTCTTAAGGTATTGTTTTCAATAACAAAAACTATTTGTGTAAAGTGACTACTTGTTAACACAATTCTTTACATCGAGTTATATTTGTGAGAAATTCTGGATGAAATTGATCAAATAATTTTCACACAGAATTTATTTTTTGTAAGATCTTACTGAAATTGATCTAATAATTTGCATGTTGAATTATTCTTCTATAAAATTGATCAAAATGTTTGTCTTGGTTTCTTGTAAGCAATGATGCATAATCTTGACTAATCTCATTAGAGATTTGTGACTACTTTGCTTCAAAGTAGACACAAATAAACATATGCCTACTCTACATAGGCTTGGACATTCATTATAATATTAATTATATATATATATATATATATATATTTCTATTTATTTTAATTAGATATAGACGAATAAAAAACAATGTTGGTTATAAAATCAAATTATTTTGATAATTCGTTGTCAACAAATCATTAATGAATAATGTATGGTAAATGAACTTTTAACATATTAAAAAATAAATTAATTGATCCACATAAAACTAACTATGAATTCAAGAACTTTTTTTACTAAAATATAAATAAGCAATAACTCAACATATTTTACATAAATTAGTATTGAAATACACTCCATATGTATGTACTTATACATACATACATACGGAGTGTATTTTATTACACACCATAAGTATAAGTACGTTATACATAGGTATAAGCTACGTCACCATTTGGTGAGTACGCTTTTACCGTAAGACCTAATGCTGCAAATAATACATCCTCAATGTTTAATCAGAATGATATACTAAACCAGAATAACATTAGTACCTGATAGATGCCCCGCTCACATGCTTCGAAACCTCTTCTTCTTCCGTCCTCGAGGAAGACGTTTCTAAGTACGTGACGGTACTCACTCACGCACGTCGAAGGGCCGAATTCCTTCTCAGTCCTTCTGCACTATTTCATCGAATATTGAACTTGGCAATAACCAGGAGGTGGTGACTGACCAGAGCTTACCGAAGCGGTAAGCTCTGGTAAGCGGGACGCTGTCTCCTGACCGAATCCAAATTCCATTGCTGGTTTCGTGCCAATTAATTTGGATTAGCTTTGCCCGGTCCTGAGTCGGGACGGGACTCCGTAGGGACAGGCGCTGTTGGAGTCACGGGACAGGTCCGCAGCGCGGACAGGCAAAATATCGAAGCTACCATTGACAGCGTGGACGGAAGGCCATGGATGGATGGCAGGTGATAAGAAGCCGCCGGGGTTTCGGCGGGACACGTAGAGCAAAGCGAGCGCGGAAGAAAGTGTTGCGGAAGGCGTGTGACCCAGAGAGGACCACGTCTCATTGGCGGAGCATGGATGGATGGAATGCTGGACGCGGAAGGCGGAGATGGACAGAAGTCGAGAGAAGCGAAGATTCTCTCGCGGGTCAACCGAGATTCTCCGTCGTCCGCGTGCCGTTCGAGGGACGCGCCGTCGCCGTCGAAGGGAAGGGCTGGGCTTGGCTTGCCAGTGGGCAGGCGCTGTTTAGGATGACGAGAAGCGCCAGGCGTTCGTTTGCTGCCGTCGCTTCCGAGAGCCCCACTGGAGAGAGGCCCTCGCGCTCCGCGCAGACAGGCGAATTTCTGTGCCGCAGTCGATTTTGCGCTTCGATTCTCCGCGACGCGAAGCTGGGATGCCTTCGGGTTGCGAGCACCTGCAATCCATCGTGCGTCTCGGAATTCGTGCGCCGATTCGACGACGTCCTGTTTCGTAGGAAGTCAGGTGAAGGACTCGGCTTGCTGTTGTTCATGGGGATGAATGCGCAGGCTGGCGTCGATGATAAGATTTTCCTTGTAACGATGCGAAGCTCGTGGTCTGGTAACGCGAATGCTTAGACAGGATTCGGAGGGCGGGAGTCTCTGATATGTAAGGGGCAGAAACGGGGGGACGAGCAGATAAGCCCAGAAATGCTTGCGTTATCAGAGAGTTTTACCAGGTACACCCTCTTGCCTCATCTTTCTAGAATTTTCGTTCGCCGGTGAGAAGTGAGAAAGCGGGAGTACACGGCAAATTGCCTAGAGGCTGGGTGACTGGTTGGAGTCGTAGTGAAATTGCGGGACGATATGTTCGAGGAATTCGGCCTTTTTCACCAAGTGATAAATGAGCACTATGTTGGAGCACGAAGGTTTCCGTGTGGGATTGCATTGGCATCATCTCAGAAGAGTTTAATGCTACAATGATAGCGTACACGGAAACCTTCTTTTGGATGGAGGGTTTAGGTAGTACAGATTTGTAGACCGTCTGTGTTTTATTGCGAGTTACTCGACATTTGCATCTTCCGAAGTCTGTAGTGAGTCGAAAGAATACGCACATTCGGAGTCGGAGTCGGAGAAGGCATTAACATTGTGCTGAGAAGCCGAGGTTGAGAATTTAGCCTTCTGGTTTGCTCGTTCCTCTTCCTCAATTTCAGCATTGTAATAAATTACGTCATCTTCTGTGCAGGTCCGTCTTGGACATCTCGACATCTTGCACCCCTGGAATTGCGCGAAGTAGTTTTCCCCTTTCGTTTTGTCATCTCAAGCTCAAACCTAAGAAGCGACCCCGCCTGTCTCTCAGGCCTCACGTCAATGCCTCAAGCTGTGGGTGGGATGGAAGAGGATTTCTTCAATCGCACCAACGGGAGAGCTGTTCGCAAGACGACATGATTCTTCTAGAACGTGCTCTGCTCATACCAGAGCATCCTCCCTCTTAGCTCATGGAAGTAGACCTGCTGTTAAGCCGCCTGTAGATACTAGCGACATCGGTTTAGGGCCCTCGGTATCGAAACCAGATGCAGACGTCCAGCAGTCAGTGTAGCCCACTGTTGAAGCTCCACAACAAATACCGGAAGCGGAAGATGATGAAAGTGTCGGAGAGAGAGAGAAACTGCGGCGCCAAAGGATTGGCCTGGCTCACAAGGGGAAGGTGCCTTGGAATGAGGGCAGGCAACACAGTCCAGGTGAGTGCCCTTGCAAACTCCTGAAAACATCCCTTACCTGGATTCAGCTGTCCAGCTGTCGAGGCACTTTGCAATACACCGCAGTTACTCACTACTATATCACCCAGTCATTTGATGTAATAATGGTTGCCTCTACCCACGAGGTAAAAGGCCAGGGAATGTTCCAAAGTCTCCAAAGCTCAATTGTTCATTCACCTTCCGGTGTAGATCACAAGATCCTATACCTTCGATTACAGACGGGCTTTTGCTTTTTGAGCTGTCCTCTACCCGCATTGCGTTACTCTGCATTACCACAGAGCCATCCAAAAGGAGCGATATTGGCCTTATTTTTTTATTGAAATTGAAGCATCAAGGACATCGAAAACCAATGTACCAGCCCAAGTGTTTATCGGGAGGGGTAAGCAGTCATGAGCTCATCCCTATGGATGTAGAGAAAGTAATAGCTGAGGGCATCGTGCGAAGTTAAGACCGCGCACCCTAGAGATTCTACCTAATCATCGCGGGCACCTTTGAGAACACCCATAATGACCTTCTGGAATTCCTAAAGATTGAGCCTAAATGACAGGCCGAACCCTTGGGAGGATTGAGTTCAAATCTTATGTAAGTCTTCTAGTTATGAGTTCAAATCGTTCGCAAGTTTTTTGGCGTTTTTATAAGTAATTGTTATGATTAAATAAATGTATATATTTATTTGCGACGGGTCATGGACAGGACTCTGTACATTAGGGATTCAATAAATGTGTAATATCAAAATGTTTTGAATCCCTCATCTTCGAAAACTTTCTAAAACATGCAACGCAGGAAAGAAAAGTAGTAATATCGCTGGCGAGCTCCGTTTGAAGGGGCATTAATCAAGGTGTTGACAACTAACTATACACCTGTTTATACACCAATTCTCTGCTTGTTCTGATTTGAAAATGTAGTGTTTTTTCTTTCACTATATTGATAGATAGTATATTTGCGAATTTCCTTAGCGGATGTACTGCAAGCGATACTTGCCCAAATCACTTAACTTTTATATTTCACTGTGTGTTTTTTTGGAATATTTTTATTGTTTCAGTTGAATTATTCATTGTTTTAGCGTACTTTATAAACGGTTAGGATTAATGTGAATTTTTTATATTGAATTGCAACGGAGCTTTACTTGCCTTTAATACAAGTAAATGGAATCCTTTGTGGCTTCCAAAGGTACCCGTAACTTTTAACACAATCCTATCACATCTTGATAAGAATACTGATAATATAATCTACAACATTAAAAAGAACATAAATTGAATTTCAATCTTATGAGAACATGCATTCATGTTAAATATTCTCACGGAAAGTTTTGTAACTATGAAAGCTCAATGACGTATCAATTTGTAATTAAACCCATTGATATTTGTATTAGATTCAAACGAACTCCATTTGCGTTTTAGTTAGCCAAGAAGAAGTTGGGATAAATGATTTGAAAATTATTACATTTGCATTTGTCTGATGTAACAATAATTTTCTAAAATCTTACACATGATGTGAACAATTTCAATAATTCTTGTTGCTTCAACTTGCATGATACCATGTACATTAATATAAGTGCTCAATTTATTTAGAAACTCTAATTTATAATTTATATGTATTTCATTTTTCGGATCTTGTAATGCTTTGTCACGGTTTAAAATTTTATGGAAATTATTTGATGTATTTTATTGTGTTGCAAATGTTATTATTCATCTTGAACAATATTCATTCTAGATATTCATCCGTGTATAATTTATTCTTTATGAATTAGACATTGTGTTACATGTTGTGGGATACATGGTATGTAACACTAGTATTTACGATTTCGCATTTATGATTATAATAGAGTTTATCTTCAAGATGAAATCAATTGATTTTAAAATATTCATGACTAGGTGACACATTATGTTTAGTGTTATATATTGACTTGATGATCATCGTCATGAAATCTGTGCATATTATTTTGAAATTTCATAAATTTTTTCTCAATGCGCATTTTATCTTGAAAATGATTTCTGGTAGATTCAAAATGTTGCTGTAAAGAACATCACAAATACTATATATTAAATGATGATGGGACTCCAACGTCATTGGTTAACATTTACCTACCAACAAACACATGTTGAATTATTAATTGATGAGTTAATGTTTAAGATTTATACAATTACAATTTTGAAAATGTGTACGAATCCGTTCATGTTATTCATATATTAACATCACTAGTTTCATTGAAGATCTTGGTCATTTTTTTTTTTTACCTATAATCAACAATCTCAATGAGTAAATTTGGAAAATATTTTGGAATATTGCATTTCTTATATTTGATGTTGTTGATAGATTTTTTTCAATTGCATAACATTGAGAGATGAACACAGATCAAGTAGCGATATTTATTGTATTCACATGTGTCACTTTGAATTAGTGAAACTTAAAAATTTTGATATCAGTCAAATTATTATTCAACAGAAGTCTCATCTTGATTGTAGTTGATCTTACTCTGAAATAAATACAATTGGGTTTCAATTTTCAAAACTTTGTACCATGTACAAAAATATATCGATTTGTAGAGAATCCATAGACTTCTGTGATGATCAATGATTTTTTGACGATGCATGATCAATTCTATGTTTATCAGGACATTTCAATTTTCTAATAGATTTTGGAGTTGAATTAAGTTCACTGTTTTTAAATACAATTCATATCGAAAGTAACTTTTCAATGTTGAAATTCATGAAATATATTTTTAACATGTCATAAACAGATTTTTCTCTAGAAAAATATTTCCAATGTAAATAGTATAATTTGATGCGCACCTTAAAACAATAATACTAAGAGTATATTTTTAGAGGTTGCAAAGTACACGAAAGAGAAGCAAGCTACGGGATATTACTTGTGCATCCGTCCCTGCAATGGCTGCCACAATTACAACGAAGACTGCCACTACGATTACAGCGGGTGCTGCCGCTCTCACGACCCGTCTTCGCTGAAACTCGACTCGAGCACAAATCTTGTGACTCGCGCCGGGTACTGGGAATCGGGGTGGTGCAGCTGGTACAATGGGTGCTACTACCAGGTCGGGTACAGATGCGTTTGCGGTAAGAGCAATGAAGAACGGATGCAACTACGACTACCCTCTCAACCCCAAGGACGCCACCTGGCTCAAGTACAAGATCCTCTGGAACCAGCACTCCTTGACCCTCAACTCCGATGACACTGCTGCTTACATCGCCGAGGCTTAGATCGATGTATCAACTGTCTACCATGACGATCACATGAGTTGATGATACATACGATATAAAATATGATTCAGTGCTTGGCTGGCTCGTTACAAGCGGCAGTTATCTCCTATTATGCGTTATCGTAGTTTTGTGTATGTGTGTGAATGAGCTCAGCTCATTATGTAAAAATAAAGGCAGGCAATGGCCAGCACTGTAATAATGACGACACTACTGTTTGTATTCTTGAGCATTGGGTGAATGATCAGGCTTTTGGCTTTTTCTTGTGTCCACCATGACCATTGAGAACGAAGCTCGCAAAGAGTAATATGGAAGCGTTTATTTCAATATTTTTTATGTACCTACAGCGAGCGATCTTTAGTTTAGATCGATTGAAGTCTGAGAAGTATGGATAGCAGCTTCTAGACGAGAGTGTGCAATGGCTGGACAACGATCTTGGATTAGCTGGAAGCATTAGTTACAAAAATACGAAATTGTTCATAGACTTCATACTTCATTACAAATAAATTTTTATTTTTCGATAGAGTTTTTCTTCCCATGAATAAAAAGACCTTATAGTTTTACTCACACAGATTTCTACTTTTCATATGATTACCACTCTCCATTTCATTACTAAATATGTTCATCAAAAGCTTCATTGAACTTAAGAATTTATCGAAAAAAATTGCTGCAGACGATGGCCGAAATCCTCGTGGGCCTTCTTTCCACCTTCCAGTCAAAGATTAGTTTCCCATTTGAACGCGGAGATAGAGCCACTATTGATGTCGTCGAATTGAGGTGATTCACTTCACAGTTCAATGACTGGTAACTCTCAAGTCCGGTTCCCACTGGATCTACATAAGAAGCAAATAAATTCTAAATTGTGTAATCTGAATAAGCCACCTCTATTTGTGATTCTATTCTCGAAGGGGCGGCGGCGAGCAGTACGGCCTGTCAAGCTTGAGTTCTAAACACACAATCTGTTGTCATGTCTGAGGACATTCAGAGACCTTATACTGACACATAGCTCTCTGCTTGATGAAGATTCATACTTTTTAGTTTGACGTACAAAATGACACAACAGCACCTCCCTCACTCCAAGACCAAGGGACGTTCCAACAAATCCACCTCACGTGGCTGATGCTCGAAAGCACCATACACAGATTCGCCCGCGAGATTCATCCGGAACTGGGTCCATTTCAACTAGTAACGAGCTCGAGTGAAAGATTACGAGCTTGAGTCGAAGAGGTCCAGACTGAAGCAATGCCAGATATGCACCAGCTACGCTACGCGCATCATCATCTGCTTAATAGCAAGACAAAGCTGACGAGCATATTTGCTGGAGAACTATTCATTCCAAAGGACAACCCTGAATTTGTGTAATGAGCTGATTTGAATCGGTCCCGCTGAGAGACAGTGTAACGTGAGGTCAGGCAGCCCCATTTTGGTGAACATAAGCCAGCAACAGTTGTGCATCTGCATGCTTATTCGTATGACTTGCAGGAACACAGAGAATACTTTCGTGGAGAGTGCATGCAGATGCATAACTGAGGCATAAAATATATTTTGTTGCGAATGGGTTGAAAAATGAACCAGTTTAGATTGTTGAAACCATTAATTGCAGACTCAACAAAGAAAAAAAATTCATATAACCTCAGAGCCGTGTTTGGACTCAAAACAGCATCAGATCTGATAACTCCCCTGCCTTGCTTGAAATTGGTGTAAAAGTGCTATCGAATCTGTTGCCACCCAAGGAGGGATCAAAGGGCACTTTGGTGGTAAAGTCTCCCGGTTTGCACACTTTTTTTAACACGTGCATGCATACGTGGAGTTGAAGGTAGGATCCACACCGTCCGATGATCCAGGAAAGTTGTATAATCTATTCAGGATGAATAGGCACCGAACTTTCCCAATAGTGTGGGCACCTGGAGGCAGACCACGCAAAATTTGATAATAGCAGTTGAGAAATGTTTTTCTTGCTGAAAGCGTAGAGACTTTAGAAATGTTTGAGGACGATCAAGCGGACGGGACTTGAAGTCGCTTATCATTCAATCCAAGCAGCATAACTCTTTCGGAGCAACAAGCCTGATACGATAACCATCTCTCTCTCCGTGAAACCCTTATTTTTTTTAACATGCTCACTAGTTGCGCGTAAGTGGCGTCAGGTGGTGGTAGATTTGTTAGAGTTTCACTAGCCAGAGATACAACTCCATCTTTGCGTCACAAAGGGACATTCTACCAAGGCCCACTAATCTGCACAAACCAACTTCGTTACAGCTAAACTCTGCAGACTCGAGATTTCGCTGCAGAAAAGATGGGTAATAGAAACCGTGCCTACGAAAACACGTTCCGTTCCGTTCCGTTCCATCTTCCACTGGTACACGGGATGAGCATTTCCATCGTACTCAGCATTTCACAGGGCTAAATCTAAAATTTTCACTGAGGTGTGTAAATAACTGTGACCGTGTGTCAGTATACATGAATTTCTG